TAATTTCCAAGGGAGCACAAAAGCTGTGTGAAAAACAGCAAAAAAGACACATTTTTAGTAATTTCCCATGTTCCCAGGGTCCTATGTTTCAAGGGCCCTATGTTCCTATGGTTTGGATTAGGGTTAGAATAATATAGGAACATACTCATTTTATAACAACATTTGAAAGTGACAGAAAGTTAGAGAAAAAGAAACACATTCATAAATCCTGATCCACACTCTTTAACCGTTAATGCACATTGTACGGCAACTGTCATAAAAAAGGACTCTGCAGGCATTGCAATGAACTGACTTTTCTTGAAACAAACTTCTTCTACAAGCAAGTTTCAGCTCGTCTTGTTGTGAAGCTTTGGTTTAAATTCACCTTCAAATAAATGCCTTCAACAAAGGATATCTCATTGTCTGTTTCATACAGTATTGTTGATTAGCTCCGTATTTCCTCCAATCGTTAAACTGAACACTAACCGATCAATAAACTGGTCAATCAAAACGATGTCCCCAGGCTGGATGTCTTCTCTGAGAGAACCACATGCTGTGGTGACTAACAGATGAGTGCAGCCCGCTTCCTTCAAGGCCCAAATATTGGCCTGGTAATTCACATTGGTGGGCATTATGGTGTGTTGTCTCCCATGCCTTGCAGAAGGGGAAAAGTTAATGCAAAATAAATACATAAACCAGCAGATATTTCAAGTGTAAGTCAAAACATTGTATACTGTATTGTATAGTATTGTATATACCCCCACCTTGCAAGAAGCACACAATCAACATTCTTTATTTTGCCCAAAATCAGAGCATCAGATGGCTTTTGAAAGAGAGGAGGACATGAGAATGAATAAATACACTTCTGGCTCTGCCTATCAGCTGTTAATATATTATGGTGACCAAGCAAACCATGATTGGCATTTTCTCAGTTTAATTAAAGCAAATGCACATATGTGACCCTGGAGCACAAAACCAGTCATAAGGGTCAATTTTTCAAAATGTAGATTTCTACATCATCTGAAAGCTGAATAAATAAGCTTAACATTGATGTATGGTTTGTTAGGATTGGACAATATTTGAAAATCTGGAATCTGAGGGTGCAAAAAAATCTAAATATTGAGAAAATCATCTTTAAAGTTGTTCAAATTAAGTTCTTAGCAATGCATATTACTAATCAAACATTAAGTTTTGATATATTTACGGTAGGAAATTTACTAAATATCTTCATGGAACATGATCTTTACTTAATATCCTAATGATTTTTGGCATAAAAGAAAAATCTATAATTTTGACCCATACAATGTATTGTTGGCTATTGCTACAAATATACCCCAGCGACTTAAGACTGCTTTTGTGCTCCAGGCTCACATATTAATTTCCAAATGTGCTCTCCAATAATCATGCATGCTAGAAAGTACAGCAGACACAATGCAGAGACACTCACCTTTCCAAATGGAGTGACTACATACCGTTCTGTCCTCCCCTCCAGAATATCCGGATCATCGAGACCAGATCCTCCAATTATTCCTATCTATGAGAACATGACAGATTACAGACGTCTCTGAATGTGGGATGGGCGTCTGCAGGGGGTCGATTCAATTCAAACATGTTCAACACTCACGAATATTAAGAGTGACGTGAAACAAGTACGATGCACTTGACAGAATTATGTAGAATTGCACTTTTGTTTTTAGTTCTAATTTCAATCAGGGAGCTGTAAGAGAGTCACTTCATAGTGATTTCATTATTTCAACATGTCAACCAAAATATAGGATAGTTGTTTCGTAAGTTTTAGATTCTATTTTACTGACAAACTGTCACAATGAAACGTCTTTGATACAAAGTGAATAAACTGTAGAGAGTATAGTCTGCACAAAACAGTCTGCAATGTTACAATTATTTATACAATTACGTTACAATTATGTCACAAATATAAAAATACAGTGTATATCCTCCTGGGACCCCGACAGACTTCTGTCCTCTGTAGAGGACTTTATATTTCAGTGAATTCTCTGAGACCGCTGCTTTTCAGGAGGTTTGATCATAAACACTCCCTCTGCTTGCTCTTTAAATATGACTGATATTGACAGAATTATCAAATGTAGCACTCTTAGGGAAATATGATACTATTTTGTAATTTTAATTTAAATCTGACTAATTCACAAAATAAATAAACATCTCAGAAAAATGTGATGGGGTTTCAAATCGGAATATGGCTTTTTGTTACGAAACAGGGTGTAATTTTCATACATGTCTTCTGTAGAGGACACCAGGACAAACAGCTGTTAATCAGGCATTTCAGGGAAACACAACTATACAATATTCCTATGAAATATGAGATATTTTTATGAAAATGTTGCCAAGTTATTCCTCCCATTATTACACTTCTTTTTTCATTATGGTTTGCACCAGGAACACATTAATATGCAAATTAGATGCAATGTATAGATACATTGTATAGAATCGGATGGACATTTGACGCACATATTGCAAAATAGTATATCAAATCATACTGTTATATCTTTCATAACATAGTTGAGAATCATCTTTGTGCAACGTTTGGTTAAAAACAGCCTGAAACCTAAAAACCGATCAGTGAATGAAAAACCAATCTTTTTGCCTATGCGTGCCTTTTCATGTCTATTTACTTTTTTTGAAATAACTCAATCCTCTACAAAGAGCATAGAATAAAATATCATTTTTTATTTTTTTTTTATTTCTCTCTATTAGTTTCTTATGCTCCAACCAATGTAATGACATAAAAACAACAACAAAATTCACAAAACTCTTTTTCTGGTTCTCAGGACACGCCTAATTTCAGAAACCAATGCAACATTTGCTTAGTGGCGTGTTGATGTGAAAACACTGCAGTGTTCCACCTCCTGAACTATTTTCTTACATAACCCATGTGTTCACCCGTATATTTCATGATCATAATATTACATTTACCTTTACGTGACTGTTCGATGCCATTTTCTTTCACGTGTAGAAATGTAACATCAGCTTCCTAGTTCTTTCTTGTTTGATGGCGCTGCGCAGAAGAAAGAAGCGCAGTAGCGCCACCTACTGTTCTCTAGCAGAGATAACATAAACCCGCCCTATACATGATAGATAGCACAGTAATTAATCTTTTCTAAGATACCCAGAAAGTACAATATTCTCAAAGAACATGGTGCATGATTTAGCCCATTAAACGCCATCATGACAACACACCTCAATAAAATAATGTAACTGGCATGAACTAAGAAACCAGGATTTATATAAATGTACACTACCAGTCAAGTTTTTTAAAGAAGTCTCTTCTGTTCATCAAGCCTGCATTTTTTTTATCAGAAATACAGAAAAAGCAGTAATATTGTGAAATATTTTTACTATTTAAAACAGCTGTTTTCTATGTTTCTATGTGAAATAAAAGTATTAATTTCTATAATTTCTTTCCCAAATTAAATTTAAAAAATGATATTGACTCCAAGCTTTTGAATGGTAGAGTGTATAATATTACAAAAGCTTTTTATTTCAGATAAATGCTGATCTTTGGATCTTTCTATTCATCAAAGAATCCTGAAAAAATGTACTCAACTGTTTTAAATATTGATAATAATCAGAAATGTTTCTTGAGCAGCAAATCAGCATATTAGAATGATTTCTGAAGATCATGTGACACTGAAGACTGGAGTAATGATGCTGAAAATACAGCTGCGCATCACAGAAATACATTACTGTTTAACAGATATTCACATAGAACAGTTATTTTAAATAGTAAAAATATTTCACAATATTACAGGGAGCATCAGAGCCCGCTCCGCCAGACTGCTCAACAGCTTTTTCCCCCAGGCTGTGAGAGCCCTGAACTCAAATCACCCCGCCCTCCTCTGAAACCCCACACAACCCCCTACCTCCTGAAACATGGACCATCTCACCAACCTTACCACATCACAAAAAACTGTCTGAAACAATTCGAAGTGTGCTACAGGGCCTGCACAAACCACCTGTAGAAACACACTCTCCTCTATGCGCACTAGACACTTTTCACACACACTGCTTTGTGTACATAATCCCACAAAAGACTCCGTAATAGGTGTGTTTACATGCTCATGCACTACAAATCATCTGCACTGTTCCCCAGCCAGCTGCTTGACTTACGATGTTTCTCTTTGCACATGTACACTATTATGTGAAGCATCCGTATAGTCTGTATTTTATTTTGTATTTTTTAATTTTTTTTTTATTTATGCATAGGTAAACATTTATATATAGTATATTCAGTCAAAATCTGTCAGTAGGTTAGCTGTGTATAGGTACAGTGTTTATGTGAAGCATCCGTATAGTCTGTATTTTTTTAACTTATGTATAGGTAAACATTTATATATATATATAGTATATTTATAATCAAAATCAGTCAGTAGGTTAGTTGTGTATAGGTTTTTACTGCTTTACTGTATAGGTTTTTACTGTTTTACTTCATTGTTGTATGCCTGTATTTATGTAACACCGTGGTCCTGTGAGGCACGACATTTCGTTCCACTGTATGTCCCCACATGCAGCAGAATGACAATAAAGCTCAACTTGAACTTTTGCTGTATTTTGCATCAAATAAATGCAGGCTTTGTGAGCAGAAGACAATTCTTTAAAAAACATGAACAATCTTACTGTTCAATAACTTTTGACTGGTAGTGTATATGAAATATTAAATAGTGGGAATATTCCTTGCAAAAATATGTTCACATTTTTGTACATATTTTGCATTAAATTTCACGTATTATCTCATCAAACATGGATTATTCAAAATCAAATGTACTTTTACATTCTTTTTACAATAGTTTGTACAGTATGCACTACCAAGAAAAAACATACCTGAATGAAAAAATCAAAGTAGGCCTATTTATTTTGGCATCAATGTATTGATTAAATTTAAAGATTATTTTCTGAAATTGTTTTAGAAATCTGAGGAAGTACACTGAGTTCATGCATCATAAACTGTAATGGACAAAAAAAAAAAATGAATAATGAATGCCTGTGCATGAAACTGATTCCAGACTGTTTTAAGCAAACATACACACAGAAATACAACATTCAGTAAATAAAGACACTTTTATGATCCTTTTTTATTTATTTGCGACAGGAACAGTAAACTTTTTAAATTAGTGACTGTTAACTTGCTTGCATAGTCTGAAATTAATACATTTCCAAAATCACAAATGCAAATATATCCAAAAACTCCAAATCAAAATCACATTTAAAACAAATCTCTTCTCCATTTATAAAACACTGAATTGTAGTCCTTTGTCAGTCTTGATTTGCCACACATGTAAACTCACAATGTCTGGGGGCGATTCCCTGCATCACCCACAGAACTACATTCAGTTCCAGCAGCTGACTCTTGCTCCACGTCTAGCGGCTGAGTTTCTGTGGCACTGCTTGCTATTGTGACCGTGGAGTCAGCTGCACTGATATTCCTGGCTGAGGGTTCACTGGGGTCAGCAGCGTCACTGTCACTGGGAATTGTTATGAGAACTGGACTGTTTTTTCCCACCCTCTCCTCACTACTATGTCTCCTGCTCTTCCTCTTGTGTTTCTTCTTCTTCTTGTGATGTTTCCGACCGTGATCCTCAGATCTGTCATCTATGCTTGGACTCCTACTTTTCCTCTTGAACTTCTTGTGCTTCTTGATTTTCTTTTTTGCACCATCCTCAACAGAATCTGTGAACAACTGACTAGAACTTTTCCTTGTGGGTTCCTCATGATGCTTCGTTTTGTATTTCTTTTTCCTGCCATGTTCATCGTGATGTGATGTCTGATGCGAGTTGGAGTTGATTCTAGAATTGCTCCTTGAGTGACTTCTGTCCTGACGGTTGGAAGAGTTGATTCTAGAATTGCTCCTAGAGTGATTTCTGTCCTGATGGTTGGAAGAGTTGATTCTAGAATTGCTCTTTGAGCGACTTCTGTCCTGGTGGTTGGAAGAGTTGATTCTAGAATTGCTCCTAGAGTGATTTCTGTCCTGATGGTTGGAAGAGTTGATTCTAGAATTGCTCTTTGAGCGACTTCTGTCCTGGTGGTTGGAAGAGTTGATTCTAGAATTGCTCCTAGAGTGATTTCTGTCCTGATGGTTGGAAGAGTTGATTCTAGAATTGCTCTTTGAGCGACTTCTGTCCTGACGGTTGGAAGAGTTGATTCTAGAATTGCTCCTCGAGTGACTTCTGTCCTGATGGTTGGAAGAGTTGATTCTAGATTGGCTCTTTGAGTGATTTCTGTCCTGACGGTTGGAAGAGTTGATTCTAGAATTGATCCTCGAGCGACTTCTGTCCTGACGCTTGGAAGAGTTGATTCTATAATTGCTCCTAGAGTGATTTCTGTCCTGACGGTTGGAAGAGTTGATTCTAGAATTGCTCTTCGAGCGACTTCTGTCCTGACTGTTGGAAGAGTTGATTCTAGATCGGCTCTTCGAGTGACTTCTGTCCTGACGGTCGGAGAAGCTAGGCTTGATTCTAGATCGGCTGCTTGAGTGACTTCTGTCCTGACGGTCCCTGCTTCGCCTTCTACCATGTGATCGAGAACGAAAGCGATGTACACTTCTATAATAGCTGGTGTAGGATGAGCATGTCTCTGTATAACATCTCCTGCTGCTGTCGCTTTGACTGTAATGGCTATATGAATGCCAATATGACGAGGTGTGGCGGCTTGACTCTTTTTCTCGTCTCCGCTTATGCTTGCTCTCTTTAGACAATGGGTGTTTCCTGCCACGAGAGGAGGAGTGAGTCCTATTGCTGCATGAGGATCTTTCTCTAGATCCCGACAGCTCTCTCTCATGATGCCTTTTGCCACATTTATCTTTTCTTGAGCGAGTAGAGGTGTTCTCAGGCGAACGAGAGCATCTCGTCGGCCTCCTCTGAGCGTCAGCGGGAGACAAATCAGACTCTGAAGTAAAACGAATGTGTTGGGGTGCTCGAGGGCTCTGCGGCTCGGCATTCTGCTCTGAATCAGAGGAAAGCAGGACCAGTTCCGGTGTCCTTTCTGACACTGGCTTAACATGTCCGATAATCATGCAGTCTTCATCACTGCCAGAGGAATGCTCCTCTTCCACGGCAACAGTGCCAGGATTTCCCGGACGGTCCTGACGTGGCACAGTGGCGACAGACACTACTGCCTCCCCTACGCTACTATCAGAATCCGAGTCCCTCACATGGAAAGGTAACACCTGAGATGGCTCTGAGGAGTAGGATGGCCCTGGGGTCTCATCATCCCACGGCGCTTGGCTTAAGGTCACACTAGGAGTGGCATAATCCTGGGATCCTGACACTAAAGAATCGCTCTCGTCCTCAGAGATGGCGATCACAGAGGTTTCCGAATGGCTGCTCTCTCCGGAGGGCCGAGGCAAGTCGTAAACGGCGCGCTGGTCATACGCCTCCATGTTGAACGGGGACCGAGCAAAGCTAAGAAACTCGTGCAAGAAGTGCTCTGTATGGGTCAGTAAGAAGGGCCGGAGCTCATGCAGAACAGCCTGCTCGTCCAAGTTATGCCGAGTGATCAGAGTCATGATGATGTGCTGCACTATGTTGACAAGCGACCCGTGAGTACCGTACAGGACAGTCAGCTCTCGTCTCACCCAAGGCACAAGCCTGTGGAGACAAGCAGGATTTCTTCTGAAGAACTCTGCAGAAGTCTCCCTGCTACGGCCACCGTCCTGCACGTTCTGGACTCGCACGCCTCTCCTGTACAAGGCCCGTCTGAATTTAACCGCTTGTTGTTCGTGAAGACTCCGCAGAGACCTTCCCTCGCTCTCTCTCCTCTGTCTCTCCTCTGCCAACCTCCTTAACATGCTGTGGAGATCTCTGTTGTGCCGCTGAGGAACAGATCCTCTTAGGTCCTCGAATAAGACCCCGTGGTCAGGAGGAGATGACGTTCTCCTCGGCGCTAGCCTGCGCTCGCCGGTGAGCGTGGTGCGATACCTGAATCTCTGCCCTGCCATGTTGCCAAATGAGCCGTTTTCAGTTGGTCGCAGGTCGAACCTCTGGTAGTTATCTTCGGACTTTATGGTGTGATAAATTGAATTAAATGGCTGCTTGCATAAAGGGCACTCCGCTTTGTTCTTCGACCACTCGCGGATGCAGCAGAAGCAGAACTTATGCAGGCACACATCAAGGTACGATATGTTTTTGAAGTGATCCAGGCATATCGGGCATTTGGATTCTGGAGATGCTCCTTTTGATATAGTGTTTAACACAGCGCCCGATGGACGCTCCTTCATCTGCGGTGATGCCATGATCTAACGGAAGAAATGTTTGAATTATTAGGCTACTTGTTCTCAGCATTTGCTACATTTGTGTGTAAAATGATAAAGTGTTCAAGTTTGAATAACATTATAAATTAAAAGAATAAGGGGAATGGCAAAAATGTTAAAGGTGACTCAACTGTCCCGATATGATGATAATAATAATAGTAATTAAAAAAAAGCTTCATTAAAACGATAAGATCGTGGAAAAGAAAATAATTTTCGGTACTATAGCATAATCTTTTATTATTATTTTTAAAAGTATTATTTTAACAAAACAGCTTCACTGTTTATTAATATTTGAAAACCTTTTGTCCGCCAGATACAAGTAAATACGGTCATGTAAACGCTATTTATGCGATCGAGTTTACTCATATTATTAATTTTGGTTACACTTTATTTTAAGGTGTCCTTGTTACAGTGTAATTATTAGTGCTGTCAGAACGATTAATTGCGATTAATCGCATCCAAATTACAAGTTTTTGTTAACATAATATATGAGTGTGTACTGTGTATATTTATTATGTATATATAAATACACACACATGCATGTATATATTTAACAAAAACATGTTATGTTTATATATTAAATATATTTATATAAATATATAAATGTACATGTAAATATTTTCAATATATATTCTGTATGTGTGTATATTTATATAAACATAATAAACACAGTACACACACATATATTATGTTAACAAAAACTTTTATTTTGAATGCGATTAATCGCGATTAATCGTTTGAAAGCACTAGTAATTATACATTTAAGTACTGAGTGATATACACAGTACACACACATATATTATGTAAACAAACACTTTTATTTTGAATTTAATCGCGATTAATCGTTTGAAAGCACTAGTAATTATACATTTAAGTACTGAGTGATATTAATTAACTACATGTACTTACTATATGGTTAGGGTTTGGCGTAGGGTTACTTGCATATAATTATGCATAATTAATTATTATAATAGTGAGTACATGTAACGTGTAACAAGGACACCTTAAAATAAAGTGTTACCTTAATTTTTCCTATTAGTAATAAACTACTTTATGACGGGAGCAACATTATATTGGTATTTTACAATGTTAACAGAATATAAACAAAACTATGCAGTGTCACACTGACTTCTGAGTTCATTTAACCACAATAAATACATTTCTATAATAAACAGAAACGTAGGAAAAAAAGAGAAAGAAAACATCTCCTTCAAAATGTTTTTAAACTTACTGTTTTATGTATTTGTTGAAACTTTGGGAGTAAGTTACTCAGATCCTCTGAACTCTGAGCTTAAGTATCCGAAACAAACAAAAGAACATTTATAATTTTAATAACGCTTTACAGAATCCACAAAAACATGTTGAGCTGAATCTCATGTAACTTACTGCCTAACAAACCAGTGCCGCTTCAAAGACCAAGTCACGATATTTCACGTTATTGCTCCGAATGCGAATATATAACGCGTTTAATAATGACCAGAAACGACACGACTTCTCTCAGGCGGTCGATCGTGACGTAACAAAACAAGAACATTACGGATCTGACGCGCTGTCAAACTTTCGGAACTTCCTGCTATTTACTTCAAAATAAAGCCCTTCAACCATACGCCAGACAAAGCGTTAACTATGTATCAGAGAAGCAGTTCCTTCTAGATATGGTTTATGATTTTAATTTCATAATTTTAAAATACTAAAACACTCAAACAATTCTGAGAACTGTTGATTAAAATAGCAACGGCAAAGCTGGAGGAGCATTTAATTATTCTAATATTCAAACAATTAGAATTGAATAGTTCACTGCTGCTTTTTTTTTTTTTTTAAATCATCTAATTATTTGTTTTATTTGACATAAAATGATACTTTTTTCATAAAAATCATGCAATAACAAATGCATAAGACTAAAGGTGTAATTTAAAGAATGTTACTCTTGGCTTTTCATTGTTTTTAATTAAAATAATACATGACTCTTCTTGCACGTGAGATCTATGTCACTAAATAATAATAATAATAATAATAAAAAGATTAAATTAGCTTAATTTCAATGACCAAAATCTACCCAGAAGGGTATCTTACTGTCACTTAAAGGCACAGGAAAAGCATTCAGAATCTGTAGAATTAATTTTATTGACATAGTATACACACAAGCATTTAAATTTTACAACCAGCGCTGACAGCCATGTCTACAGTGAACATAAACTGGCATCTTCAGTGATGACCATAACTGTCTGCTTCCGGAAGATCTGGGACAACTTCTCCTGTTTCCAATATAGTGTCTCCCTGAAAACACACACACACACACACACACAGACACACACACACACACACACACACACAGAGACACACACACACACACACACACACACACACATAGAGAGACAGAGACACACGCACAGACACACACACACACACACACACACACAGAGACACACACACACACACACACACACACACACATAGAGAGACAGAGACACACGCACAGACACACACACACACACACACACACACAGAGACACACACACACACACACACACACACACACATAGAGAGACAGAGACACACGCACAGACACACACACACACACACACACACACAGAGACACACACACACACACACACACACACACACATAGAGAGACAGAGACACACGCACAGACACACACACACACACACACACACACAGAGACACACACACACACACACACACACACACACATAGAGAGACAGAGACACACGCACAGACACACACACACACACACACACACACAGAGACACACACACACACACACACACACACACACATAGAGAGACAGAGACACACGCACAGACACACACACACACACACACACACACAGAGACACACACACACACACACACACACACACACATAGAGAGACAGAGACACACGCACAGACACACACACACACACACACACACACAGAGACACACACACACACACACACACACACACACATAGAGAGACAGAGACACACGCACAGACACACACACACACACACACACACACAGAGACACACACACACACACACACACACACACACATAGAGAGACAGAGACACACGCACAGACACACACACACACACACACACACACAGAGACACACACACACACACACACACACACACACATAGAGAGACAGAGACACACGCACAGACACACACACACACACACACACACAGACACAGACACAGACACACGCACACACATACATTCAAAGAAGGTGTGTATGAGAACATTTAGAAACATCCGAATGAATGATTATTTGAATTTACAAAACGCCTTCTGATTATTAGGGTGATAAAACTGTATGGACCAAATATACTTACAGGAAACAGTCTGGGTTTAAGAGCAACAATTCCATACGGCATTTTCTGTGGAAATAAGAAATATCAACCATTTGAGCTTTAAACTGAAGCATGATAATGATCAGCCAAAGCTCAAGGATATTTGGTGCTACATTTTATCTGCAACCCTTTGTACACAATAGTACAACAACCCTTGATGGAAATATTCACATTACACTAACTGAATGTAACAAAAAAAGAAATAAATCTGAGATTCTTTGAAATAAGACAGAAGTCATTGCCTTATGTGATCACTGTTATACTGAATTGAAAGAAAAACCACATCAATATTAAGCAATTTTATTACTCAACTGGAACTATAAGCGGACAGTGAATTCACAATAAAAACACTTCTACAATATAAATCACACAATGTAACAAACATTAGCTTCACTTAAGTTTTTTTATGGTTCTTCTGTAATTCTGTGTTGCTAATTATTATTGTGCTATTTATTTTCACGTAGCATCAATATTCTGGTAAATATTTAGGTCAGGTAAATTTCACAACTTCTATCATTAATTATGAAACACTGGTTTAGCACAGAGAAGTTTTTCTGCTAATTTTGCATGTTTTTAAAGGTACTACTAATAATAATAACATTCTAGAAGTTTTTGTAACATTCTGCAATATTCTAGAGCTTTCTGGAACATTCCAGTCATAACAGACAAAAATCATCCAAAGTACATTTCTGGTCACTTTTGCTAACTGTTTACATTAAACTGTTGTTAGCTCAGTATTATGCATGTGTATTTTTATGCATGAGTAATAACAGATAACAGCTTGTATAAGTTATATATATATATATACAAACACTGTCGGTCAAAAGGTTGGGATCAGTAAGACTTGTAATGTTTTTTAAAGAAGTCTCTTTGCTCTTCAAGGCTGCATTTATTTGATCAAAAATACAGAAAATAAATATTATTGCAATTTAAAATAATGGTTTTCTATTTTAATATACTTAAAAATATAATTTATTCCTGTGATCAAAGCTGAATTTTCTGCTTAATCTTTTTTTGGAACCTGTGATACTTTTTCAGGATTCTTTGATGAATAAAGTAAAAAAAAAAAAAGAGCATTTATTATTTCTATTTTGAATAAATGCTGTTCTTTTTAACGTTTTATTCATCAAAGAATCCTGAAAAAAGTATCACAGGCTCCAAAAAAAAAAAATATATATATGAAGCAGCAAAACGGTTTCCAATATTAATAACAAATCAGCATATTAGAATGATTTCTGAAGATCATGTGACACTGAAGACTGGAGTAATGATGCTGAAAATACAGCTGCGCATCACAGAAATACATTACATTAGAAAACCATTATTTTAAATTGCAATAATATTTCACAATATTAGTGTTTTTTCTGTATTTTTGGTCAAATAAATGCAGCCGTGAAGAGCAGAAGAGACTTCTTTAAACAACATTACAAGTCTTACTGATCCCAAACTTTTGAATGACAGTGAATATATATATATATATAAATAGATAACTGTTAATCATACACAAAAAAATAATGTAAAAAACGTTTATAAAAAAAAAAAAACACGTTTCACAGTCTTATATAATGTATATGCAACAATGTTTTATTTTTATTTCTTGGACTTCCGTGTTGTTTTAGGCCAGTAAAGAACTGCGAGTGCAGGAACCAGTGCGGACTCACAGAGACGTGGTACTTCACATAGTAATGCACGATCCAGGCTGGGATCAGAATCCGCGCCACAGCAAACACACCTGCATTACAGGCTTTAAACGCCTGGTTCATCCGTGTAACCAGAACAGAAGACGAAACTGCATGTTATTACAGTATTCTGCCGTTAAAATGCGTGCTACATACACAAAGCAAACATGTGTTACTCTAAACAGCACACAGGTCATCTATGGCGTGTCTCCAGAGGGTCTTTGGCTCCAGAAACGCCGCCCAGAATCGCTGCACGCGGCCGGGTGTTGCGGCGGCAGTGACGGGCTCTCGAGCGCTGAGCTCCTGGTCCTTCAGCCACCGCCGCCGGAGCTGCGTTAACTGATCGAAGCGGAGCTTTTCATCCGCTGTGTAGCCAGGCATACTGACTCCCTCTTACTTCTCTAATAAACTAGAATTCACAATGACATCCAAAGAGGACAAACCTCCCAGAGAGCAGCGCGAGCTCAAGAACTCCACAGAAATATCGCTTTTGCACGGCGACACCTACTGATCCGGAGTCGAATCGGGAATGCGATGAAACGGAGTAGAGATTCGGATCATATGGCCCCCAAACGGCTCTTTATTTAGTAGCTACCACTTCTGCCAATTCAGCCAGATTTGTCAATGTTTTAACCGATGTCTGGTATTTGTGCACAAATATAATTACATTATACACACATTCTGAAACAACCAAACAATCTTCAAGACATATTGCAGATGTAAATGCAGACATTAAATAGATGTGATGTATCATGTGCTCTCACGCAGGTTAGTGAACTATCCAAAACACAAACTATTACAAACAAATCATCCTCAAAATGTAACATGGTGTGCCATATAACAGTTACAATTATGTATCTATATCGTTATATCTATTAACACTGAAACATTGTCACATCCCATTATGCAATGCTACATTTCTCCAAATCTGATGAAGAAACAAACTCATCTACATCTCGGATGGCCTGAGGATGAGAACATTTCCAGGTCATTTCCATTTTTGGGTGAACTATTCTGGAGTAAAAGGTGGAACAACTTGGCCACTCCCCTGTAACCAAGTTTACTTCATAAATATGCCCCAAAATCCAAAACACTGAAAAAAAAAAGAAGGTGCAGGATTTACTTTGAAAAAATTTTCACTTAGAAAATTGCTAGTAAATTTCAAATAATTACAAAGAAGCAGCAAGCAGCACACTGAATTAAACAGGAAATTTTTAACTGATTGAAATAGTATTTTATTGTAAAAATGACTGACTGACAGTACTGGGCTAGAACAAACAGTGATCTACACTACAAAGCTGTATTTTCACAATGATTGTTGCAAATAATGACTCTGTAGAGCCAGTATGTATAAAACATTTTAATTAATTACATTACAATACAAGAATACATAATACCTTAGAGTGTGGGCTCAAACATTGCCAGCACCAGGTAAATATGTGTATGTACACACACACACACACACACACACACAAAGTTAGTGATAACAAGGCCTGCCCATTTAGAGGAAAGATATGATTGGTCAATTTTTCTGTAATTCGAAATTACTCCCCCATTGATTTACTATTGATTGGCCCTCTGTAATTTCATAGCTGGACCACGAATCACAGAGCCGCAAACGCTAGGCGGAAACATTGAAATATGGAGAAAATGGGCGGTGTTAATAAGTCCATTCACTGAATACACAGATTTGAAGAGTTTTTTTTTTCACAGAAGTTGTATTTATTTTATTTAGATGATGTTTGTCAAATTATGAATTGCTTAAATAAAATTAGTAATAATTATTTTTTTATGAAAAATATTATATTTTAAAACATTTATTTAAAAATTGTAAATATTGTTTTTACAATACGTTAGGCCCTCTCTGAGGGCCCTGACGGTTCCCCACTGGTATACTGTTACTCTCTACTGCAATTGTAGCTGCTTCTGTGTTTTTCATCATTCAAACTTAATAATACCGCCTACGTCAAAAACGTTGCAACACCTTGAAATTGCAGAGGCTTCACAGAGCCCCTAAAATGAAAAGAAAACAGCATCAGAAATATGTTTTCATGACCACAGCAATATTTCCCAACTGAATAACTGAATAATAACCCACAAAAGAGGGTGACTCTATCGCCCCCTTGAGTACTGATGTTTGTTACTGCCACAATAATGCAAAAATGCTTAAGTATGTATAATGGGGCTGTGTGCTTACAATGCATTGGCCAAACATTTGTGCCTGCTTTGCGTACTTGTGTAGTGATCATAGAGTCTTGCCGTTGGCTGTTTTGTTCAGTGAAAGTGTTCTTCATTAATTCATCTTTGTGTCATGCTGCTGAGGAATGTTGATTTATGTAAAAACAGCAACTAAATGAGTCAAGTATCACTCATGCCATCTGTTGACCTTTACAACCCACAATTGCTGCTTCTTTCTCTCTATCACACAGACACAAACACACACACACACACACACACACACACACACACACCTTTACAATATTATACAACATCTGAATGCATATTACTTGTTTCCTAAAAGGACATCTGTTCACAGGTCTCCGGCACAGAACCCTCCCTTTCTCAGTCTCCTCTTTCCGCAAGTTTTTTTCATGCTAAAACACAAGCCGAGCGCTCCGTGAACACAGAACAAATAGGGGAGAGGAAGAGTGAGCAGAAAATATGGGTCACAAATCTAGTCATATAAAGATAGAAATCTGATATTACACCTGATGCCTCACAAAATTGGGAGGGGTTAGAAAAATAAAAGTCTATATCTAATAGAATTTATACGGCGGGAATATTTCTTTCTCTCTTCTAGTGCTTTTATACAACAAAGGTAAAAGGAATTTGTATATAGCTGTATATTTTTTTCTTGTTCACTCTGGTCTGTTTTTCTGTCTACTTTTCCTGCTGCACTGAATAAGTATTCTCAATCATACACACTGCAAATCTCAGCAAACACAAAGTATAATTTGTGTCTTCCCGTTTTCTTTTTGTTTTAGTTTTTTTGTGCTGAGTGATGGAACACACATTTAAGATCCTTGGACACATAGTTATATCTGTGCCTGTCTGCTGACATTCCCTCACTTTAGTGTTTTAAAGCTTTCAAAACCCCTGCAGCCACTGAATAGCCCCGTCTCTGTCACAAAGTATTTCTTTCATCACACTGGAAACTGGCTTTAGCTTGATTTCATGTGTTTGGCATGTGACTTCTTTGATAATGCCAATGAAAGCTACAGTCTCGTAGAGATTTGTTAAATTCTCTGAACTCTCAATCAAAGCATGTTAACGGGAGGTTCTGTGCAAGAGGTTGACTTCACTTGATCAGCACACACTGAAAAAGAATAGTTTTGCTACAACAGTCAGGCATATCCATGACATAAATGTAAACTCTTCATAAAAATGTAGCTTTCAGGAAATACATATAAAACAAAACTCAAGACAATAAAACAATATTTAAAAAATATTGGATACTTTTTGGAAGCCGTTTCTGCCACAAAATAAAAAGAGAGAATTTTATCAAGCATAAAATAATATACAAAAACTCACAATTCTGTGAAGAAATGTCATTATTGTGAGACAAACTCACAATTACAAAAAAAAAATCTGAATTGTGAGATAAAAAGACTCTTATTACACTAAAAAAATTGCAAGATGTGAACTCTGAATTCAGTTTTCACTGACAATTGTGAGAAAAAAAGTAACAATTCTGAGAAACAAAATCCGAATTGTAAAATAAAAAGTCACATTTACCTTTTTTTAAATATTTTTTTTTTCTGTAGCAGAAACAGGCTTCCATACTCCTTTAAGTGTTTGCAGAGAATGGAGAGATAAAAACAAAAAAACAAAAGTTGGTCACAATATGCACCATAATTGTGAAACAGCGCTGCTTTCTAATACAACAGCGCACCCCTTTGCAAACACAAGAATCATATTGCGGTCTCTTTGCTTTTATGGGCAGAGGATCAGATACTTTGATCACCTTAAGCACACTTTAACACTAAGAAACAGGAACAACCATTGGGGAGGACTCGAGCTGCCATTAATGATTGATTTCAATGCTCTTCTCCCAAGGTCTTCCACTTCATTGTTTGAAACACAAAGCACATCTTAGGCATAAGGATAACAAGAAGACAGCTGTTATGAAGATAAAAAAAAAAACATAACAAATGAAAAGAGCCTCAAGGGCAGAGTCGATTAGGTGAGACGAGCTGCCACAAGAGAAGAAGACCAGTGTTGCATGTGTGGAGGATGCTGCATGGCGGAATGGAAAGCACGTTTTTGAGGAATTAAAAGAAAAGATGTTTCTCGTCAAAAGGACATAGGACGAGTCTATTCTGAGGATGCTGGCAGGTTGTGCTTTTGTGCTGGTTTGGAGGGATGAATCAAAGGAACAGGGATATGACAGTCAGGACAAACGCCAGAGCTCTCACAAACATTAGCCTGGCCTCATTTTCTGTTAAAAGAAAAGATGTTTCTCGTCAAAAGGACATAGGACGAGTCTATTCTGAGGATGCTGGCAGGTTGTGCTTTTGTGCTGGTTTGGAGGGATGAATCAAAGGAACAGGGATATGACAAGTCAAGGCACAGCATGACAGTCAGGACAAAAGCCAGAGCTCTCACAAACATCAGCCTGGCCTCATTTTCTGTTATTCTCATTTGTGACCCTGGAGCACAAAACCAGTCATAACGGTCAATTTCTCGAAATTGAGGTTTATGCATCACATGAAAACTGGATAAATAATCTTTCCATTGATGTATGGTTTGTTAGGATAGGACAATATTTGGCTGAGATACAACTATTTGAAAATCTGGAATCTGAGGGTGCAAAAAAATCTAAATATTGAGAAAATCATCTTTAAATTTGTTCAAATTAAGTTCTTAGCAATGCATATTACTAATCAAAAATTACGTTTTGATATATTTACGGTAGGAGATTTACAAAATATCTTCATGGAACATGATCTTTACTTAATATCCTAATGATTTTTGGCATAAAAGAAAAATCTATAATTTTGACCCATGCAATGTATTGTTGGCTATTGCTACAAATATACCCCAGCGACTTAACACTGCTTTTGTGCTCCAGGCTCACATATACTCTGCTATTTGTCTTTTAATCAAGAACTATTTAGGAAAATATAATACAAAAGCTACTACAGAAAATATAAACTACACTTGTTAAAATCACTTTCAGTTACCTATTTTTTCTTCCTTTTTTTCAAATATATATATATTTTTTTTTCTGTTTCTTTGTATTTTGGTCTGGGACTGTCTGTGAAGAGCTGGAATTCCCAGCACTTTCTTCTTTCATATACGGAATATTGCACACTGCACTGCATATATACTGCTGAAGAATAAAGGCTTCAAAAATTATTGCGAGTAAGTTACTGGGAAATACACATCAGGACTAAAAGCATCAGTATAATTTTCTGACAGTACCAACACCTCGACAGAGCTTGTTCCACCC